CAGCAGGAGCCAACGCGAGTGAACTGCCCAGGTGCTGCAGAAGTCTTGCGCCGTAAAGACGGCTGGAAATCTGCCTGGCTGTTCTCCAGTCTCTGAGGATGACAATTAAGGGCAAGTCTAAGATTAGAGCTCAAAATATAACAGCATTTCCCCAGAGTACTCTACCGGTTTCTAGTTCAGAGACTTCCTGAACTAGGCAAGTCTCTGTGCAGTTAGGAACCCTGAGCAGATTTCTTGTTCAGTCTCCCCTTGAGTCTTGTAAGATGTAGTTCTAATATCCTGTGGTGAGGAGTTTCCACAGACTGCATGGTGTGAAGAACCGCTTCCGTGCCCCGTAGGCAACCTGTCACGGCTGGCTTTTTCAGTGACCCTCACTCTTGTGCTGGAGGAGCTGGGGGGTGCAGCTGGTTCCTAGGTGCCCTCTTCAGCCCTCCTGCAAGTCTGTGGGTTGTATCACACCTTCTGCAGTTTTAATCTGTTTGAGAGAGGAAGACTAGGACTGTGCATGATAGTCAAAATGCAATAGATCCATACACTTGCATAGTGGCATAGTGTTTTCTGGTGTTTTCCCTCCCCTCTTAATTTCTATCATTCATTTTGGCTGCGGCTGAATATTAAACGATGAAAACACCTACCTTGCTTCCGGAAACACCTCCATCATGTCAGCTAAGCCTTTGAGTGGTACTGAGTTATATTTACCAAGTACAGTGACACTAACAGTAAGGAATGTTAGTGAGTTTTATATAGGGAAACATTTTTTTTAAAGACAAACCAAACATATAATCACAGAGATAAAATTATAAGAAGCAGGTTATAGATGTATGTAGTAAGGGCATTTAACTTTCACAGTTCTGACTCATCTTATTCAAGACCAGGCAGTTGCGCTAAATTCACACCTTAAAAACTGCAGCATTACCCTTTAAATTTAGTGATTCAACGTATTAATAATCCTGCAAAAAAATGAATTTTTTATGTGAATGAAGTGAAATTGTAACTTTGGAAGAAGTACGTAGGAATCTTCGGACAGAGGGAGTTAAATACTTTTTCAAAAGCATTTTCTTTAAATCTTGTATCTCATAAATGCACAAAAATAAAAATAAGCAATCTTGTAAATTCATTTCCAGCAAGAGTTTGCTTGATCATTTTCAATATTTGTTCCAGCTCTCAGCTGTTACTGCCACAGTCACAGGGAGGAGGCAGCACACAATGCAGAATTCATGTGAACATGTCTTTAAAAGTTTCTTGCATACAACAATGCAAACTTACCTGTATATACAAAAATACTTTTCCAGACCATAAGTATTTACCATTGTAAAAAGAGAATGCCATATTATCCTTCCTTTTTGTAAATTAATGTGTACTATGTTTTTAAAAAACACTGTAATCAAGTACTATTAACACTTCTCTTAGTCACAAGTATACTAGTAATCTGAGAGTTTTTGTAACCTTCGTTTCATTGTCTGTCGGTAGCTATGCCTGTCCTACTACATGACCTAAATTATTATTGCTAAATTTTATAATGGGCTCCATAATTTAGAACAGTACTTACGACAGTGCAGGAAGGTAATAGTTGCCTATGATAACAAAAGTTATTTCTGTATAATTGGATCTTATTATATTAATGATTTGTCTTTCATTTTTATATACATTTTCTGTTTGCTTATTAATTTTATGTGTTATCCTTATAATTGAGCTGAAGTTACTTGTATGTTAAGATAGTTTAGGAATTTTGTTCTAAACTGTAAAATATGGGCAAATCTACCAATGCCATGAGGAAGACAAATTTTTAAAATAATCATCTCTGTTCATTGCACTGTCATGTTAGTAATGAACATAAAACTCAATCTCTACTTAGTCATTCAGTGTATTCATAAACTCTGGCCTTTTTTACATGCTACTCAGTTCATGGAGATAGATTAATTTTAGCATGAGTAGACAAAAGCCATAACATACAAGGGAAATTACCGACTGTGTGCTCTGTGAATGCAGCTGTAGTCCACATACGTGCATACACATGGCTGAGGCGATGTGCTGTCACACTCACAAGAAGAGTTTTGCTTCCAGCCGTACGGCCCTGTCCCTTCCCTGTGCTGCCTTTGGTGCTTCTCCGACTTTGTTGAGATGTGTCCTGGCATCTTCAGTTTCTCATTAGGATGAGAAAAGTAATGTTTACTTTGATGCAGAATTTGCATTTTTGTGTGTGAGACAATAATCTTGCCATGGGAGATACAGTTTAGTTACCAAGCATAAGTCTGTCTCAGCACTTTGCTCAGGGTTTAAGTTACCCTCCAAAGGGTAAAGCTATTGACACTAGTGGCAGAGCTAAGAAATATTTGAGTGATTTTTAGCAGTACGTTTCCATGCTAACAAAAAAAAAAAAGAGAACTTTCTTCCTAGGTTTATTATTAGGGCTTTAAAACAAAACAAAAAAGTGAGGGACTTCTGCTTTGCTTGGTGTAGGAGGGCTTGTTCAAAGGGAGGAGAGTTTTGTTTCCCAGAAAAAATACCTCTTTGAGTTGGCTCTCTTTCTTCATAAAAATTTAGTTTTAGAAACAATTAAAATGAAGTAGAATTACATGCTTACTATATAGTATTTATTGCTTATATAAGGAATACAAATGAAGTAGTAACTTTAAAATTATGCAAACTAGCCACTAAATCCCACCAAGCATCATGGTTAGAACCGGTGATGACAGAACAAACTATGTACTCATCAGGTATTTGGATTTTCAGCATTACCCTTCATTTGTTCAGCACTGTGTGTAAACTCAGTGTGAGGTTTTTAGTCTAGAAACTAGATCAAATTCAAACCAAAGATTAGTAAGAAAGTTGGAAAGCAGAAAGCAAATTTTAATACCTAGAAAGTAAAAGCAGTAGTTGTGCTGTATGTGAACCTGTATTTCCTGTCATGCAGAAGTAGTAATAGGTTCTATTCAAAAATTGCTGCTGAAGAATCTGCTATCTGCTGCCTGCTGCCCTAGGATAAGTCTGCTGGTGAAGGCACACAACAAGGAAGCTGATATCACCCTTAAATTAAAAGGGATGATGCAAGGTATTAGAAACAGAAATAAGGATTTGGGACAGAGATGTGCAGAGTTTTGAAGGTGAAGACACTGACTGTACTTCATGAACATATACATGGATGTATGGTGTATTTTTCCTCACGTTCACCCACTTTGAAGCTGTGTTTATGAAGGATGCTAATTGAAAGATGCAGGCAGGTTTGTTACAGTGCTGGCGTGTCCTTTCACATTCTGTTTTCTACCTGAAGCATTTTCTTTTTTTTGACTTTTTTTTTTCTGCAGCAGCTGAGTAAAAGTGATTTTTTTTATCTTACTGTACTATTCATGTTTATATGCAAAAATTCCTTGCATAATTATTTTTTAAAGTCACTGGCCTGTCTTTGGGTAATTCTATCTGTGTTCTTCTGTCTCTTTGCTTCAGACCAATCATCATAATATATCCAAAAGGTACACGTGGGGAGGGAGGGGGTTCCCTTCAGGATCCTTTTTTCCTTAGGTTATTAGGTATTTGTTGCTGTTATTTTCCTTCACCGTTGAAATTCTGCTTTCCATAAAATAAGTTCTCCTAGCTATATTCTTCTTATTATCTTATTTTGGAAGGGAAAGCAAGATTTTGGGGTCCCTGCATGTGAGAATATAAGTCAGGGTGATGAAATAGCATCCCAGATTGCTCCCTGTCCCAGTAGGCGTAGTGAGCTCTGAGCTGATCCCGGCTGCGTTACGCCCTGGGAGCAGGGGCTCCAGAAATGCCTCGGGAGGTGCCACTCTCCATGCAGCAGCACTGACGCTGCGGTTGCTCAATGTGTAGCTGCTGCCTTTTCTGTCTTCCGAATAATACCAAACAACACATATCTGTCATGGTAATAAGAATCAAATGATGGAAAAATAAAATTACTTGAATCTGAAGTGTTCTTTGGGCACGTGTTCTGGTCTTTTTCCTAGTATGGGGACAGTGCTTGTATGTAGCTGCCTGGTGACTCTTACCTCTGGGTATGTTTTCTGTAGTGACAGTATTTCTTCTTTTATTTCTTGTATGGGTGACTTCATCGGTGGTTCTGATAAGTCCAGTTTTGTGACAAACAATGCAAGCTGACTTCTGTTTTGCTTCTTGTTGGGGTAAAAAAGCCTCTGCGTTTAGAGTTAGATTGCTTCCAGTACCACAGCAATCCTTGAGTGCTAGTCCATGTGTGCAGAGTCAGGTTGCTGAGAGAACACGAACGCTTAATTTCTGTGCACATTTGTGTATCAGATTTTAAAATCTCTAATGTTTCATCTTTTTTAGAAAGTGTTTATGAATAATAATAAGTAAAAAAATTACAGTCCTGGTTTTGAGTCTAAGTACAATGAACTGTTTGAGACACAGTCCAATAGAAAGCCAAAATAACTCATTGAATACTTAATTATTCTGATATCCTTTAAGATAATAACCTTAATTATGGCATGACAGCTCTGGTGGGTATAGACAGGTACGTTTCCTTCTAAAGACTTCCAGTAGTGATGCCTCGGTACTAGTGACCCTTAAGAATTTTGAAAGGGAGAATATTTCCAAAGGCTTGCTGTTGAATTTGCTCATCATGTGAGTTGATCTAACAGCTGGTCTGTTTAAATTACAGTAGAGATGAAACATTGTGCAATAAGACAGATCATTAATTCAGAAGAAAAAAAAATATATTAAAAGCTACTTTCTGGTTTTATTCACATTTTTAGACTGTATATTCAGGTCATTTACTGATCCAGCAACAGAATTTAATAAAATGAAATTTGGGTAATATTTAATGCCATGTTTTGTATTAATTTGTTAATAGACCAATGGCAGTAGTGTGATGGTCTACTGTTAGTATGAAAGAAAATCTTACCGGAGTGGTGATTTCCTGTCTAGTAACTGTTTTTTTCTTTTTTCTTTTTTTTTCTTCTGGCATGTTCCTGACACTCCTACTTGCTTGTGGGAATGAATATTTTGATCCTTGTGAAATGTAGAGCCTATTGTGAAGAATGGCAGGCCTCCAACGTCTCACAGCATGCACTCATTTCTCCACCAATACACAGGATCTTTCAAGAAGCCCCCTTTACGGAGACCACATAGCGTCATAGGGGGCAGCCTCGGCTCTTTCATGGCAATGCCCAGAAATGGGAGCAGATTAGGTAATTTACTACATTGTTTGTTTAAGTTCATTTTTCTGTGAAGAATAATGTCTGTATTGATTCTTGGCAAGAGATACGGTTTTCTAATGCTTTAATAAATCTCTGGGAATATAGTAGTCTTTTTCTAGGGTTGTTAGAGAAATTTGTTTTTAAGGTACTGAATGTCTCTGAAGATTTTCAGGAAGAAAGCAATTACAAGAACACACAGAAGTCACCCATGAATTTTTGACAAATTGCAAAGTTACAGAAGTTAAAAATACTCTTTCTTAATACTTTGCAAGAAACACGTGTTCATCTCAGTGAAGCATTGGTGAGAACTACAATAAATTGGATATGATAAAAACAGAGGATAATCATCCTATATGTGGAATTTAAAAAGAACTGGTATATTGCTTAGACTTTCCATTATTATAAGAAAAACATTGCTTTTTTCAGTGATAAATTAAGGCCACTCGCCTATAATTATCTTTTTGTTGTCCTCGCGAGCTATATTTGTGATTCTGTGGGGCAAATAAGTTACGAAATTTTTTTTTCTTCACCTTCAAGTAATTTGTCATGTTGCTGCCTCCAGTCACCGTTAATGTTTTACCCTGCTTTTATGTTATTTTAAATTATGCTTAATTAATTGATACTAGAAAATGAGAGCAAGTCACAGTTTAATTAGAATTTTATGAATTTTTCAATATTCTGCCCTCCTTTAGAAGTGTGTGATAAACTGATCTCCTTCAAGATTAAGCTATGAGTCTTCAAGATAGTACTTAAACCACTTGTATCCTCCTCTGCTGCAATATCACTCATCATGTTCAAAACCTTGCCTTTTTACTGTTTGTGCTACCATTCAAACTGAAAAAAGAATTCTGTCCTCTTGAATGGGCTTTGGCACCTGTTACCACGGAAGACGACAGGTTTTGGTGTGCACATTTTGACTACTGTATCAACTCCTGATTTCACTCAAGTCCTATGCACTTTATTTTTTTTCTTTTTTGCCTAGCCAAGCTTTGCTTAAGTTGCCAAGAATCTAGCAGGAGGACAAAGTTTAAAAAAAAAAAATTGTGTACTTAAAGAAATCTCTGATTAGGAATATTTAGTCTTTTATGGATTATTTGTCAAATCGGATGTATATAAACTGTGTACAGGAACTGCAGAGGCGTATACTTCTGTACTCTTGTTCTTGTGTATTGCCTTTAAAAACATTCAATAGCATTTTTAAATGTAAATTTACCAATAAGTTAGTCCCCTTCAAAATTTCACTATGAAATTCAAATCAGCTTTGCAAAAAGAAAGGTCATAAACAGTTTTTTGGTTTTTTTTAATTGATTTTCCAGATTTCTCAAAGCTTTATTTTTCACCTGAGAAAACCACCAATATATAAGTATTGCAGAAGAATGCCATTAAGTTTTCTTTTTCTCAGATGATCAAGTTTCATAGGTGATCAAGTGTTTAAATAGCACTCACAATTTTAATATGTTAGTCTGCAGGAAGTAAATAGCTACAGATTCCTGTAGAATTTGTAATTGCATTGAAGTAGTATGGAATAGATCTTCTGACTGTATGCATGCATATGTTAAACATCTCTCTTTGCTTTGGATACAGTGATGCCATTAATGATGACATTTTTTTTTTCTCCTCATTTGATGAAAATTTAAGCTACTTGTTCATGTTATCTAGTGGTAGATAACATGAGTACAAGCATATACAAACATAATTACTAATGCTCTTTCTGTTCCTTCTTCACATCTTTCCTCCTTTTGTTCCTGCCATATGAGAATGGTTATTACTCAGCAGGATACTGAGGTTTTCTCTATTGGGATAATGACATCAGAAGTGAAACGGTCAAATATTCCACACTACATGAGACTTTTTTCTCCCTTTGCTTTCTTCCTTCATCCTCTTTTCTTTCCACTTTTTCCTCTATTACAATGGTGGAAAAATGCTATCAGAGAGATATCCTTGAAATATCACAAAATAATGGCAGTTAAAGGTTGGTTATTTGGTTAAAAAACAGATTAAAACAAGACCTGCCACAGATGCATCTTCACGCCGCTTGCTTTTGAATGAGATTATCAATATAAAAATCGGTTCAGAAGCCCAGGAGGGTTTTGGAGTTTTGTTTGTTTTCTGAGCGCTGAACATGGGTTCCTGCTGTTGTAGTAATGTGTAAAATACCAAAATATTTTTTAAAGAATTTCTACTTGGAAACATCACAGTTAGCTTTATGTTTTGTAAAATGTTTTGTAAAGACAAAAATTCTGAACTGATCTCTAAAAAGTGTGCCTTTGTTTAAAATCTTGTAGTCATTTTTAATTTAGTATTCCGTTATCATGATGATTTTAAATAATGTAGATGACTCTCAGGCCAAATTGTGAATCAGTCACGCCTCTGATGCGGATGAAGGTCTAGCTGAGGCTTTTTTAATTCATGTATAGCTATACAGCTTCTCAAGTCTTGCACCTCCAGAAACATTTAACCACTGCATGATGGAGCCAGAGCTAATAAACCCTTTTTGGACCCGGCCTGGCTGAATGCAGAGCCAATTTAGTTGTCCTTGTTCCATGTTTATATTACTGGGAACACTGGAGAGGTGCTTGGAATATGCAAAGCCAGCACGGAGCTGAAGCTAACCCTCCTGCTGAACCTCAGTAGCAGCCACAGGAGAGCTGATCCCTGCTTTTGCCAGTTGTGTTGATACAGTTACAGAGAGGCTTTGTTTCTTTGTCAGAAATACTGGAAGTGAAAGGACTGATGTTTCCGTACAGCTTTCATAGATTGGTAATGTTAACAGCAAAGGCAATTTCTCACTATTGCCTTCCTCAATTTCAATCGTTATTAGTGAAACTAATAATAAAATAAAATTTAGACACTTCATAGAAAAGTAAGCTTTGGAAAAGTGCACCTTGGAAGGAATCCAATATGCAAGTCATGTGATCATTTTTCTAATAATTTGAAATAAGATGGAAAGATCATGCAGTCCAACTCACTACTGACTAATTAGTGGATATTATTTTAGCTCACTTGGAGGAGTTCTCATTTGCTGCACTGTAGGTTCCCTGTATGAATTTCTTCTGTGGTGCATTCCCCACGGCTGAGATGAGGACAGCCTTTTCTTTCAAATGTACTTCCATAGTTTTCCTGTTATATTGTAGTCATCTACAGCTTTTCATTACATGGGCGTACTGGATATTTAATTAGATATGTAGAGTACATTAAAATAAACATCTGTGTAAGAGAACGGCTTGGATATTCAGTGAAAGCAATTCAATAAATTACTGAACCATTAAAACCTCTGAAGACCATGCAAGCTGGCTTTGGTGCAGGTGAACCTGCCTATAGAAAAGCTTAGTGAAATTAAGGAAGTATTTGCTTGATTCTCATCATTGCTTAACGAAGTATCATCATGCACCTGTGTAAAATGATTAACATGACTAGGTTAATGCCTTATTCCTCGGTTTATGCTCTTAAAATAATGAACATGAGGCTCTACTAATGCCTTTTTAATTGAATAAAATAAAAGTACACATTTATATTAGATGATAACACAGTTAAGATATTTTTAAAAAGCTTTAAAGTATTCCTATTTAGAATATAATTAAAACATCTGCAAACCCTTACAGATAGGAGCTGTTGGGTATTTAGCCTATCAGAAATTCAGGCATGTGGTTAATGACAGATTTTTGGATGCTACAGTCAGTGTCCTCGTTAAAACCTTTTAGTTATGGATATGTAGCTTATCCAGACTTACCAGAATTAATTACATCACAGCAGTATTCAAAATAGACTGACCATCATCTTACTTAAGTCTTGAGTGGTACAGACCCACTTTGTCTTCTCATTCCTGATTTATAAAGAGCAGAATCTCCTTGCAGCTACGTTATCTACCCCAAATGTATGGATTTGTGTTACGAATTCTTGAAATATTCCTTAGTTGTGTATTATTGCATGGGTGGTCTTTTTAGTAGGAGAATTATTTTTGTCAACTAGGATGTTCTTTGTTGTTCTGAGTATTGCATTTTGAAGTGTCATTTTTTTACAGTCACTTCATAATACGTACGCTTTTGTGAGTTGAACATTGTATATTTTAAGATAAAAAGTACGACAGTATCAATCACATGATTACTTTAAGTGTCAATCTTTTTTAAAAAGAAATTGTGTAATTGCTCCATGGCTTAGAACACAATACTACTTTAATTTCGTCAGTCTTACTTTATGAGGTTGGCCAGATAACTGTCTCTAGTCTAGCTTCTCTAAAGAAAATAGACTTTGGGGCCCAATCAATGGGCTTGTACTAACATGAGGATAAATAGATTGCGGAATAGCATAGTATCAATTACACTTAATTTTACAAACAGAATCTTAAGACCTGTAGTTGCTGAAATGGATTACATGACCTCTCAGAAAAATGTTTTGAAAGAGAAACTGTGTTAAAGAACTGATATGATGAATGTGCTGTTTACCAGATACAACAATGCTGGCATAACAGCTTTGCTGCAAATAGTGTTTTAAGTAATGCTTTTATATTACTAAAAATAATTCTCTAGAGTTTGTTAGAGATTTTTTTTAAAAGACAGCTATCAAGTCACTACAGAGAATAAGAGAGATTTCTTGGAGACTTGGCAAAAAGGAGTCACATTTCACATTTTGTCTGCCTAGCTTAATGTTAAGGCTGATTTTTAGGGACCACTTTCTGAAAATCTCTTCCTCTGGTTCAAACTACCATGCCTTTAAAAGCACTGATGAGTATTTACCTTCTTTGAAACTAGAAGATTGCTTCTTACTGTGCAAGGATTGCAGCTTATTTTTTTCTCATTCAGTCCAAATCTGAGCATAACTTGCAGGGAAAATTCTGATGCAATGTGGATTTTTAATCTAAATCCAATTTAGATCCACATTGCTGCTGGAATATGTGCTTTGAGCATGAGATGCATGCTTAGTTTGTGTGTTTAATTACAGTACTTTGAGTTAAAATGCATGCTGTCAGTGCCTTACGAGTTAATCTTTTTCTGTCCGTTCTGTTTTCTGTAAAAGGAAATTCTTTGTACTGAGGAAGAATTTGATCCTTTGAAGTCCGCATGATTCTATGTGAGCCAAACTAGACAAACATTTTAGATGTGTTGATACCCAAATGTTGGCCTAGAGGCTTTTTTGATAGAAAATCCAGCTTTCTTGCTTGTTGATAGTGATAAAACTTGCATATTCTCTTTTGTTTTTTTTATTGCTGTAACGCTGTGCAAATGCTAAATATTTTCAGGTCTGTTGGTGGTAAGGCTGAATTGAGTTCTGTGAGTTTTGCTAGTATTAGCATTTTTTATAGGTACAGTTCTGAGATTTTTAGTTGTTCCTCAGGTTCTCTTTTACCTCGTACAAGGTCATGCTTAATACCGAGGATCACGAGAGTGCAGGGAAATTGGTGTCTTTTGAAACACCTCCTTTGTATGTATAAGTATTTAATCTCTGTAGTAATTTGGAGTTCAAATATTTCAGAGGTCATGATAGAGCATTACTCATAGTGAATTGCTTGTATGACCAATTTCCTATTGTGTGCCCTTTTGCAAGTCATTTGGCTCTTCATGCTATTAATGACACCACCTTGATCTTTTCTTCATTCATTACAGTGTTTGTCTTCCAAAATCTGGAAGATCCTGTGGTGCTTGAAAGTAATGTATATGTATATACGTAATATACATAAACTTTCATGTGGGTGAATCTACAGTATTGTGTTAAAAGTACCAATTTCAGTTTACATGAATATCCTGCAACATTATGTAACTCAGGCAGTCTGTCACCTGAATTCCTCCATAAGGTCACAAATTTCACTTAATTGTTCCTAAATATCAGGTCCTCTGCTGAATCCGCTTGTGTGTTGAGGCCTCTGTTTAGGCGGTCAGAATACGTCCCCTTCCTCCACACATGCACACCAGTGGTTTTTATATCTGAATCCGTATTTGGCATTTCTGAAAATAATGCTTATACCTTTTAAGGTTTTTTTAAGCTTTCTGAAGATACATTTAGGTGGCTAACATCAGGTAGTCTGATTTGAAAATCTTAAATATTCTCAGTAATGTTTTATATCCAAGAGTAGCAAAAAGAGAAGAGGTAGTAAAGGAGTGCAGGAACTGAGGCTGTGAGGGGAAGGTGGCTTATAGGAATTAAAATTGGGATTGGACTGTCTGTCTTTAGTTTTGGAAAATTGAGTTCTGCTGCAAACCAAAGAAGAAAAATAATTAGAAAGTTTGTATAGAAGTCCTGTAAAGTAATCCTGTTCATTTTGTGATTCCTGAGCCGTAAAAAGTGTATCAAAGACTACCATGACTGTGATGAGTCTTTGATTCTGCCATAAAACCCAATGCACAGTAATGATACAGTTGTTTTCCGTCTGTACAAGAGAGATGTCTGATGGAATACTGATTAACTGTTTTTAATTTTTTTTATTATTTTTAAGATATTGTTCATGAAAATCTGAAAATGGGGTCAGATGGTGAAAGTGACCAAGCTTCTGGAACATCATCTGATGAAGTTCAGTCTCCTACAGGTGTTTGTCTCAGAAACCGGATACACAGACGAATCTCAATGGAGGTAATTTACTTTTCATATAACGATCATTTAAATTGACAAGGGAGTTGGGTGTTGCTTTAATTGTTCGTTATAACTGGTTGTCTTCTCAATTAACTATAGCTGTTCTGATATATATTTTGTGCAGAGAGCATTATTTTAATATTACTTAAATTTCTGTCTCCATTCGTCACACAGAAATCGGATGGTTATCTTGCATTGTTTATGAGCTGTTAATTTTGAAAATAAAATATGTTTTGAAACTTGGATTTTTGGGAATAATTTAAGTGTAGCATTAGAATGTGTAGCATTAGAATATCTTTCCGTCACATTCTGTGCAATTCACTGAGTATATTCAAGAAGATACAGTGTTTAAACATTTTTTACTTAAGACTGTTTTCTAATCTTTGTAAAACTAATGCTACAGCAGTGATCGTCCTGACTGCTTCAGCCTTTCCCCTCTCTTCCTGTTTTTTAATGAACGGAACTTTACAGGATGGTAAACAAAAGGAGGAAAAGTACCTTATGAATAACTGTGCACATAATTTCCTTTATTTATGAGTCTCATTATGAATACTAGCCACCCTTGTGCTTGCTTTGTTGTCATTTCCCTTGGTGAAGAAAAACAGAACACTTCCCTGTTTCTTGAGTGGATGAAAGTTACAATTATAAAGATGCCTTTGTTACAGAAGCATGTAAAATTTTGTAGTTGCTGCTTTATAGCATACGTACCAATATGCATAGTTTGTAAGATTTTGAATCTTCATTCAAAGCCTGATATCGAATACAGGACTGGGGAGACAGATTGTAACCTAAGTTACAGTAGGGTGTATGTGCCAAAAATTTTTTATTTGTGAGGCGTTCCATTATGCTTGGAATTCCAAGACTCCAAGCACGTCATGCTGATATGATTCCAAGAACTTGTGAATTAGCTGTATTAATTATTTATATCCTTTCTAGCACCTAGGGGGTTTTGTCTTCAAATTTCTAAATTTGTATATTAATCTCAGGTTTGATCAGACTGTTAAAGTTGGACCATTTACTTTGGAGAGCTAAGGTGGGTCTATTGATTTATGCAAGACGCTTAAATTAAGGAAAAAAAAAAGTCATTGTGAAAACTTGCACATCAGAATGTATGCTGGAGAAACTAAAAATCAAGGAAATTATTTAAAAGAATTATTTACTTTTTGCTCATTGTCTGTTTCCTCTGCATTTTGAAATGCGCATTTAGAACAGGAAAGAAATAAGGAAATTAATGATACATAATGAAATTAACAAACTGAAATGGAAACGTGTCAAGTATTTCAGAGAGGGCTAAGAACCATTAAAGGATTCTCTTTTATATTAGGATTCAAGAAACTCTAAAAGAAATTAGAAAAGAACTCAGGAATAGTCATTAAAGTTCAGGAAATTCCTGTGTAATTTTTCAGAAGGTGTCAAATAAAAGCATCTCTGCATTGGCCTCTTTAATTGTGAAACAATTCTAATATTACTGTTTAAGAGGCTTTGGGAAGCTTTTATTTCACTTTTGTTTATCCAATGCTAATTTTCTCATTTTTCTCCAAATTCGAAGTGCGTCTTTCTGATTGTTGAAATGAACATTATTTCTTCATTGACTGGCTCAGTCAACGAGAGCACTAATTTTTTGGCAGCTATTCCTGTATATTCTGTGAGAATTGTAACATTTCCCCCAAATTACTTCAGTATTGATATGGTGACTTTTCCAATAAGGTTTCAAGCTAATGTCTAGAACACTCTTACTTCTGAATTTCAAGAATGCTGTCATGGGTACATATTTTTGGTTGACTCAAGTTACTTCTTAGAAGTGCTTTGTAGCATAGTAGGTGGGGTTTTTACCTGTTTGTGAATTCCAAAGAAAAAGAAACTTAACAATCTTTGTAGCTTTGGTTGAAATACCTTTCTAATCATAATCTTTTCAGTTGACTTTCCTAAGTGAAAAGACCGTAAGCGATTACATCATCTGCCTGTCTTTCCATCCTCCTATTTTTCCCATGGGTCATTTTCTGTCAGTTTTGACAGATGGATCGAAATCTCAGATGCTAATTTTCTATTAATTTCTGTGAATAAAGCTCTGCATCGGGAAAGATTGTGAATGCATCCACTGCTAGGAAGGATGCAGCCTTTATTAAACACCACAGTATCCACATATGAGTTGAGTCTCAAGACGTACCATTGTGGATTAACCAGCCAGCAACTAAACACCACAGCTGCTCGCTCACCCCCACCTCCGGTAGGATGGGGGACAGAATCGGGAGGGCACAAGTAGAAAAACTCGCGGGGTGATATAAAAACAGTTTAATAATGGAAATAAAACAAAGTAGAACAGTAATAATAACAATGATAACAACAACAATAACAGAATATACAAAGCAGGTGATGCTCAGTGCAGCTGCTCACCCCTCGCAGACCGCGTGTCACAGATGGGGGGTAGAGCCCCCACCCCTTTAGTTTTTATACTGAGCGTGATGTCACGTGGTATGGAATACCCCATTGGCCAGCTGGGTCAACTGCCCTGGATATGCTCCCCTGCCACAGCTTCTCCTGCACTTGGCAGAGCATGGGAGGCCAAAAAGTCCCCGGTGCAAGCACCGCCCAGCAACAGCCAAAGCGTCAATGGGACATCAGCACTCCTCTCATACCAAACCCAAAACACAGCACACACCCTCCCCTCCCAAGCTACTGGGAAGAAAGTTAACTCTGTCCCAGCCGGAACCAGGACACATATATTCATAGAAAACAGGTTTTACTGGTTTTGCTGTTCATGGAATGGGATTTCTTGGTTCCTTGGCCTGTGAGGGAACCAAATAAAGGTTTCCTCTTATACCAAGTCTTGCCTGCATGCCTTGGGTGATTTGTGCCATGGAGCTGGCTGGTTCCATAGTAGTAATTTGATTATATAAAGAGAAAGAAACAATCTTTGTTGTGACGTAGGTTTCTATTATTTCAGTTTTATTTTGCTGGTTTGTGGGGATCTGTCATCTCTAGACATCATTGGGTAGCGTGAGGCCATATTCCCTTTACAGTCATTTAGGATGAGTTACAGCTGTATGGTATACATGTGGGTTGGAGTAAATTAGTATGTGTGTGATAGTATGTTTTTGCTGTAGTCTGCTGAAGTCATTAGTCACACTTGAAATCCATTGTAGAATGTATTTGGTTAAATATACAAAGTTGGATAAGCTCAATAAACCAATACTCCTCGTTCCTCTGCATTAAGATGAATGTGCCTGTCACACTACAACTATATCCTTTTTTGTGTTCAGTTTGGCCAATATTCACTGTATTTGTAATATTTTTGTACATAATTTCTTGTTTATATCTGTTTGTTTCTCTCTGCTGAATTGACAGAAGTCCTGATTTGTTTTGAAGGTAACTAATCAGATAAAGCTGAAACCCTGGAACAGTTCTTTTTACTTGTAAGAACTTTGTGTGTATAACCAAATTTTTCATGCTTAGCTTGAACTTCCTCTAAAAATCTGAAAATTAGCAGCCCACCAAAAAAAAAACCAACCAATTTTTTTAAAATGCTTGCTAAAAACATGCATATGCTAAGTGCTAATTACCAATACTGAGTATTAGTATTCCTGGGATGTTTTGTACATTGGAATACACATTTTGATCCTTAGTGCCCATCCCCACTGCAGTCAATCATATAATAAAGCTGCTTTCTCTGGAATCATTAAATAATTCAGAGCTACAAATAAAGTTGTAACGTTGTTGAAGAGCAAACAGATTCTCTTGTCCAGAGTATATGAAAGATTTTGTTGGGAAAGAAAATTTATCGTTCTAAAATTTTCAGATAGAGATATACTGAAGATAGAAAAGTGCAAAATAGACAATGGAGATGCAGCTAGAAAATGTGTTGTAGCAGAATCTCCATAGCAATAGAAAGCTGAAATTTCATAACCTTAAGTTGACCTGGTTTAGATAGGAAATCATCATACTGCGATGTAACCTAAATATGAAGCGTTTTAGGTACGGAGTGGTGATACTGCAGTGAGAAGGAATCCTGCTCTGCAGTGAAAAAGCTGCTGGGGTGAAAACTTTCCATTCACAGTAGCAGCTATGGAGATACCAGCTTTCAATCTGTCATCTCCCCCAGATGACATAAAATTTAGGCCAGCATGACTGTTACAGATATGCATTTGCTTCTGAATTTGAGAACACTGCAGTTATGGGACTAGATTTTTTTTTTTTAAATGATTGTTCATTGTTATCGTGTGCTTAGAAAACAAAGAGAACATACCAGAATCTCATTGTGTTGCCTAGATAAAGTTATTTTGCCTGTAATCCACAAGCTACTAGTGATCCATAAAGCAGTAGCCTTTTTTTTTTTTCCCCTTTTCCTTCCCCTCATTCGGGAACCATGCTGACAGTAGGTGCGAACATCTATTGTGTAAGGAATTTGGCTTCCAACAGCTGTTAGGTTTTAATTAAAATGTCTGCTAATCTAATGCTAATATTAATGATTACTTAGTAAATCAGTAAAACTGTTTATCAAAACAGATGTATGAAATCATTTTTTTCAAGCTCCAGAAGCAATACAGCCTAACAATGAATACGTGTGTGTCTGTATTTTAGGTGTAGGTGCTTTCATCATGTAATGAGAAACACTTCTCCAGATCATGGCATTACAGCTTAAAGCATTTTCACTTTGATTTGCTAGAAAAGAAGACATGGGCAGTAATGCATTAATATAAATTCATGTTTCAAGCCGTAAGTGTTCACTGGGGGCCCTGTGCCTGTGCACTGGATAGTGAATGCTTCGTTAAGAACTGCAGTGGATAAAAAATAGGGAGATACCGTCTGTGCAAATTGAAACATCTGTTTCCCTTTCCCAGAAGTCCAAGGTCTGTAAGCTGTCTTCGCGTGTGAACTGGCGGAGGGCCATAACCCGCTGTTCACCAGCCTGTTTCCCAGATACTTTATCCTGAGAAACAGTTCTTACCCATCTGACTGTCACATTAGTGACAGGAGCGTGTTCCAGATCAGGCTGCTCCTAC